AGTAATATTTGAAGCACCAGAATTTAGATTAAATGACAGATGCAGTTTTATGTATCAGTTGTCCCACTAACTGTATGTTTGGCTGGGTGAAGCCGGACCACTCCATTGGTTTACATATCTATGTTGCAGGTCGATCTTCATATCAATGACTGCGTTATTATTTCCATTTCAGAAAACCTGAATTACGCCTCTATTAACCGGTAATTTATTCAGTTAGGAATCTGCGCATGGGTTTTATCCTTGCAAATTAGTTGATAAACTAGCGCAGACAAGTCAGGCGATTTAATAGTGAAGATTATGTTCTAACACACGTCTTGATCCTTTAACTGCTGTCGGATTGCGATGTCTAATTTCTTTTTATCTACCAGCGGTTCCTAATTCAACAAACGTGATCAGCAGTGTCGCGGAGTCACTGTCCTGCGAATGGCTATTTTCCGGAACAAGCAATCAGAACGAAGATAATCGAACTCAGTGGAATGATCAAAAGTGAGAATCAATCAAAACGGTTGACGAAGATCAAGTCAACCCATCGTTTAGGATGTGCTTCCTCATGTCCGTCCTCTTGCCTATAAATAAGCATGTCATTTGCAAATTAATCGAATTCATAGACGCTTCTATCTGTGTTGGATTCTACTACCAATAGACTTGCTATTTAAATGAGAAACGTTATCGGAAGATGGACATTTAAGGAGCTATTTGCGGTGATCCTAGCCTGCGAGATGATGCATATCATGGAGCGATACAGTACAGTTTTCGGACAACTGTAATCAATCATGCTCCACGAGTGACGTCAGCAAAGTGCGTGCATGTCACACCTTCTTGTCTACATACAACAGGTCGATTGTACTAGCCAATCCGGAACCGTGCGGCCCAGACAGAAGCTGAACAACGCCGGAAATACTATAACACTACTGGTAGAGGCATGGATGACGAATTAGCGTGTTTTTCGTATGTCATTTAATCCCTCTAATTTCTTTCAATAAACGAACTACTACTGTGGCTTTTTAATCGCGTCTCGGTCACTTGGGATATGGCGTGCAAGTACCAATGTAGTCTAGGGCTTACGCCTCGTCCGCGATTGCTAAACCGTGATTCGTATTTTGTGTTCAGTGCGCACTACAACTACTACTACTATTTTCGAGACGAATCAGTACGTTAATAGCAAATAGTTCAATAAATAAATAAAAAAATAAAAAAAGCTTTATTATTAAAAATAATTGACTCTGGAAACCGAGGAAAACATCGGAGTTACAGAGGGTATGAAAATTAGCAACTCTTTCCGTTATTGCTTTTGTTCTGGTCAAATTTTTTAACAAAAGCTTACACCCCATCTGAGCTATTTTGCCATGTTTGTACGTCCGAATTTCAATCGATAACCATTGTAGGTTATCCGCAAATTGGTACTGTAAAAAGCCTTAATACAAAATCCCAGTTGTTCAGCTTTTATCGAAAAGAAATCCTAATATAAAAAGTAAATTGATGCCTCGATAGAAATTAAGCATGTTGGCATTAGTAGAGCATATGTTCTGTTTCAGAACCTGGATACACCGTTTGGGAATAACTTCTACAAGGTTCCAGAAAACGTCTTTGTCAACGGACAGCCATTCTCGTTTTAAAGTGACTTATGCGCCAGTTCAAACCACTAAAAACGAAAACCAGATTAGGTATTGCCAATTGTGAAAAGTAAAGTGCGGATTTCTGGGATCAAAATTGTTCATTCTTCACCGAATCCCGTCAGAATAGTTTTACAGAGTAATCACATATCCGAGGTGGATCAAAACTGCATCACGATTCGTTTATTTAGGATTGCTTTTTAAAAAGCTTGCTCGTTCATCACAATGATGTGAGCCTTACGTGGGTAGTGTTTGTGCTACTGCATATACATACTTGTTGGATAGGGATTTCTTCGTAGTTGATCCGTTAAACAGGACAGAGCTCGAGGACTGAAACATGTGCGTCGTTTTCTTCTTCGAATGGAATTGCTTTGAAATTTTAAGTAACGCAACTTTCCATCCGATCCTTCATAAAGTGAAGCTTCCAATTCCTTGTCAGCCAACCATCGTTCTAAGACCGGTTTCATACGTCTTGCAGATTTGGCTGTGACATCCAGCTTCTCAAATCTATGGTCAAATTAGAAGGTAAAGATCAAACGGATGGTTTGTACCGATGATCCATGTACGAGACTGTGCACACAAATTTTACAAGGAGAAAATTCCATGTTTTCAATAAAAACATGCAGTTTCACCGGGTACATACAGTTGTCAACCTGTTTGTATAGAAAGCGAATGGAATCTGAACAATCTAAATTAGTAATATATCTATTTGATTCAGTCGTTTTTCGAAGGTATTGCATGTAGGGATCTGTTCAGAATACAACTAGAGAGCCAAATTAGCTCACCATCGTCTTGCTTTCACCGTTCGTCCGCTCGAAAAAGTTCAAAAATTGACTATCTGTGAGAATAATGTGGAAGAATTTTAGCTCGGAATGCGGATGTTTCTGGTGGTGTGTTCTCCGAGCTGAGGGTGTTGTTCGCAGACGTTTTGTAGCCAGGCTAGGCAATATCATCAGTGCACTGATAATCAGTTGCACTGATGATTTTGCCTTTTCAGCTCACGCCTCATTTGCATGACGAATTCATCATCTAAATACCGTTGTTGAAGTAGTCTGCTGTTGGGCAGTGGAAGCACTGGCAGAATTTACATCAATAATGACAGTTTTGACAACATATTGAAAATGGAATCAGATACCTTTATCAAATTGCATAAATTAGACTACGGAAATAAATCCCATCATTTGGCGGTCGCTCAGTAGTACGACTAATTTCGGATTGGAACATATGCACCTCTTCCAAAATACATGAAGTTTTCTATGTAGATACTAGAATTGATGAGGAATATCAATGGAATTCTATGGCTTTTAAAAGTTGCCTATTCACGACATGTTTGTAGAATCTCCAATTCATGATAAATATCTCTTCTAAGACTTAGCATAACCAATGAAACTAACTGGAAACATTCTGGTTCAGCTGTAACCTCGGAACCGCAAATGAATGTAGCCAAATAATGTATCCACGAAGGATGTAAACATCAACCAAGTAAGAAGTTTACCTAATAGAGCAATGCAAAATAGCTTATGCAGATAGATCAATCCAGATCACTAGTTGAGCACCTTCGAGGAATCTCATCGTTACACCAAGTAATTTACCGAGGCTTGTACGCGTTGGAACCCCAGAATTATTCTAATCTGTAGTAGGCATACACAGATAAAAACAAAAAATAAACAGCTGTAGTTGAAAACAATTGAAAACCGAAGATATTGAAATGACGTGTTTTTCTCAACATTTACCCACTTTTTACCGAATCTGTGTATGCTTGACATCCGGAAAAGTACGTCTATTTTGACGATTTCAAACAAGATTTTCACCCACCCGCGAAACATTTTACTTTTTTATACCGATTGTCACAACTGTATTTGGGACACTATATTAGTTTTTTGTTGATGAAAACTGGGAGCACTGAGAATACAACAATCTTCCCCCTCCTCCAAATATCGTACATCAGACCCTGAATGAAGTGGAAAACCGAACCTTTATCTCTTTTGATAAGATGAAATGTCAGAAACAGAAATTCCTGTAAATTGAGTGTTGTGAAGGTTTTCGTTAATGATTTTTTGTGTGACAAAACCATTAAAATGCTTTCGGACCGGGGTTAGTTCTGTCCGTTTTCCTTTTCAGTTTCGAATGACCTCAAGGACCTGCCTGAATAGACTAGAGAGCATAGTCCATCACACTGTCATGTATCACTTGAAGATAAAAATAAAATTCGCTAGGTGGATTCGATAAAATACCTGCAAATGGCACTCTGACTGTACACCGAACCTTCCTTCTCATTCAGAGATAGGCAGACCTGGGTTTGGGTAAGGCCCATAGTGAGACGTCGAAATTTGAAGTAGCGCGCGAATTCACAAATTTCTTGCAATTCCCGATTTTCCATGCTCTGATCACCGGTCTCCAACAAAGTCTTCAAACGAAAAGGTTTCGCTGACCTAGAGTTGGAGTCACCTTTGATTGAAAAGACAAAATTTGTCGTTCTCTCAGATTGTGCCTTAGACTCAGACGTGGATCCTTGCTCATGTGGATGAAAGTTTCCATCTATTGTCGTCACTGTGGAGATTGAAAAGCAATCGTGAAAATTTAGATGTGAAAGAAATGACTGTCCATTTAAAATTAACTTGCATGCTCACCTTTGATATTGCCGAAACACTTGCAGTATAAAACGTGTCTGACAGATGTGGAAGGATGTATCAATTACTCCGCAACAACCGTAAACGCATTGCGTAAGAGACACGGTTGGGTTGATTCATGTAAATTGAACAAACAATAGTTTACAAAATGGATCCCTGTTGAAACGTTCGCTTTTACTCTGCCCTGTGTAGCTTTTAGAATTGAAGTATTATCATAATAATTTTTACTGAAACAAATATCGGGTAATGTTTTTGAAACAAGGCATACGAGCGAGTACTCGACACCAAATGTAGGCGAAATATGTGAAATATCTATATCTATCTATCTATCTATCTATCTATCTATCTAAGAATACAATTATTTGATCATTTAGTTAAAAGTTACAGCTTTTATAATCCAAACTGGATCAACATGATCCACTCATAAAAAGACGTGCTCTTTTCTTCAAATTGTTTTCTTGCACCTGACAGTCGATCTCCATACCACAAAGCAAACATGAATCCCGTATTGAGGCCTCCAGAGTTAGTTATGTCGTTAGTTCATATGACTTCATAGTATTGCATCAATGAAATAAATTCCTGTCTGTTTATAAAATTCCAACACGCATGGTTCTCAACGTTGGAACGTGACGTCTGAACGTTCGGTTGATGCACACGACTACGTACACCGCACGCGATTAGCTAGGTGAATCAAATTGGACGGGCATGGAGCCAACCGGGTCTCAGTCAGCCGGGGACAAAATCTTACTGAGACATTGATATGTTCTCTCCGGATTGGTCGATTGAACCTGATGTGCGACTGTTTTCTTTTGTGACTACCGCTCATTCCGCCACTAAATTGTCTCATTCTCATCGTGTTTGTTTTAAGGTTCGGGTGATTGTGGTAGTTAAAAAGACAAAGGTGCAAACATGACAATCTGGGATCGGATTGGTTTATTAAAGTCCTCAAATGTATCTCATTTTTTTGAGCCTAATACCGAGAGTAAATCAAGTTTCTAAAACACTCAATATTCATGTAAATCAAATACGCTCTTAGACAAAAATAAATGACAACCCCACAACACCAAAACAATTCACTTGAAAGTCTAGATAAGCACCTAGACCTGTGTTCTTGCAGCTTTCAAAATACAACGCTCTACAATCAGAAGAATTGATTTTCGTGAACGGTACTCAGTTTATCTTCTTTCATATTCACTAAATATCACCGTATCCCTGGTACCAGTCTACACTCTGTGATAAGCGGAAGACTGCAACGAATGCTATTTCGACAACTACAGAAGATCTAATTTGTAAAATTATGGTCCTTGGAAAAAATTGATATGACCTTCTCAATTCAGAATCAACATGAAGAAGAATGGTGAACAACTGTGTTCTGAATCGGTGGCTGACGGTAAAATTCATTTAGATGACTGAGTTTGTGTGAAGTATCGATGTCGCTGGCTTGGAACACAATGAGGTTTTCTCTCTTGTATCAAGTATGAATGAAGGCTAACTGAGTATCTCTCACGAAATTCCTATTATCTGGTAGAATCTGGTTTTACTTTGGGACTTATGACGGCAGTTCTAGGCTACATGATAGCCAATATGAAACGCGCCATTGGGACCAATCAGAGGGATTACGGCGCGATACAAAACACTATGCCATTACTACTGTGAACGCGGATTGGACAGTACAGTGTGCGGTAATGATTTTCATCATTTATATTCTTCTAAGTTCGGTAGTTGAATACAATGGCAATCCCAGACACCGAGTACTACAAAACGACGAATTCTCTATTGCCAATTTCCTCGTCGCATCGTAGTTAAAATAAATTTGAAAATTTTCAGTTAGCAACATGGGAACTTTGTATTTTCGGCTCTACACCTAACACATTTGGAGTTGAAAGCGAACTAGGTTTGGAGATTCGTGATGCGTTTGTAAAGGAGAGTCGAAGTTGATCTTGTTTGGGTGAAGAGATGCAGTCTGATAAACCGCTTTGAATGTTACCTTGGGTCGGAGCCCTGCGTTCTGTCCGTGATTTGGGGTCCCAGTTCATCGCCTCCATTAGGTCAGTAGATGCGCATCACGGAATATTTTAAAGCAAGTGACAGAGATGAAATTATTTTGTAGAATTTCTCAGTTGATAACATTCAACGGAACATTTGATACAGCCTGCGGACAGTCTATCAGACCAATGTTGTTATCCTTACCGTCAGTATGCTCCCGTTTTGTTGAAGACCAGCGTGGAACCATTAAAAATATATCTCATTCATGAACATATACCAATGTCAACCAAGGTAACACATATAAGCATTATACGTTCTATCGATATTCTATCAAACTGTTCCTTAATGATTTCTCTTATATGTTATATAAAGACTTCCATGTACTGACAAGATTCCCAAAACACCTCTTGATTCATGTGTATTGCTAGATGTGCATTTGTGAACTTTATCATTGACAGACACTACCTACATGCATATGAACATTTTATCTCCAAAATACTCTCAGACACTTTGATGTGTCTTTGGGTAGCATGATGTCGTGGACTTTTAGTAATTTAAGGCCCTTTAGCGCTTCTGCAGGGGTCTTGCTATTCGGTGTTGATTCATTCGGAGTTGAACGGTATGCCAAGAGGAACCGTTGCAGAATTTCATCTGTAGTTTCCTCTCCTCGAAGTTTTAATAGGGCTCTTTTGAAAGTATCCACGAACCGTTCCATCTGACCGTTGGATTGTGGGTGATACGGTGGAGTCCGAATGTGTTGGATGCGCCGCCGTTTTCAGAAATCTCGGACTGGCGAAAACGCGGCGCAGACAAGAGACGATATTGCCAGCTGTGGGGGAGGAAATGGCGTAGATCTCAGGCCACTTGGAGTAGGCATTTACTATGATGAGGTAGTAGATAGCGTTTACTGGTCCCGCATAATCAATGTGTAGTCGCTTCCATGGACCTGTAGGTACTGGTCACGCAATTGGTTGTTCTTTTGGTGGAAGTTTGGCAGCCTGTTGACACTGAGAACATTACCGAACAATGGTTTCNATCTCTGTCTATGAAGGGCCAGTACACAGCTTCATATGATTTCCTTCATTCTGCTCATACCGGGGTGGGTCGCATGGAACTGGCGGAGTACTCGTGAACGCAATGACGATGGAATGACAACACGATTGGCGAACATGAGGCATGAGTCAACCACAGATAAGGATGCACGTCGCATATGTAACTGTTTCAGCTTGTCGGAGTTCACCGTAGGCGGCCAGCCATTTGTAGTCTATGAAATAACGGATTGGAAATTGGGGTCATTTGCCGAGGCATGCTTGATGTCCTTTGCAGCAACGGGAGTTCCCCTGATAGCGTCGTTCAGTGTCCGACGTGTGTCAGTGACGGAAGTGATAACTGCAATCACCCTGTCTTTTATGGTGGACTTCTGGTTTTGTGGAAGGCGTGATAATCCATCCGCTAGACTAAAGTCCTGCGTGCGGCGGAATTCTGGTTGAGTGTCAGGTCGAAGTTGCAATGGGACCTGGGCAGGGGTGCATGGTCTGAGTCCGTCTTGGAAAACCTCCTGAAATTGTTGTCATTTGTTGCTCCATCGGTGTGTTGGAAAGAGAGAGCGTGGTACATATTGTGCTCAATGGTAAATCCTATAGACTGAGACGGCCGATTCAGTCGAGGCCCAACAGATTTAGTGGTTTATCAGAGAGATAATCGATGTCCGGCTTGTGTATGTCAGTAAATGCGACAGTACACTCAAACTGTGCTAGCAGTTTGATAGAGCCACCACAGGCACTGGTGGCTGTACGTGTGGTTAGTGTCAATGTAGGACGGCCGATGGAGGACCACAATTGTCTCGAAATAATATTATTGTCTCAAGCTGTATCAAACTGTAGCCGTACCGGATATCCATTCATAGAAAGGCGGATATATTGTCTAGGAGGAGCTTCATCTAAGTTGAAACGTGCGATCAAACTCAATGACTGATCTTCGAATTTGGCAGACCTGTTACGAGGTCTGATGTTTCGTTTGATTGATCGAGATTTACCGTGATTCTTCCAGTTGTTGATCTGGTGACCCGTTTGCTGGTTCTGTGTATTACGGTCCCTTCGTAGTGGACAGAATCGGTGAAAGTGCCATGCCCCACAATATTTGCATGACGATGGTGGTCGACGATCATTGGGAGCAGTGCAGGGCCTGGGTCTCTGAAGGTGTTTCCGGTCTTTTGACACAGCGTGCAAAGTTGATGTGGGCTGATTTTGTTGCTGAATCATTGCCGAGTCATGTTTTAGGTTTGCAATGCGCTCACATTCATCGATCAAGTACTGCAACTTTATATTTGGGTCTTGATCGATTTTTGCCAAAACCTGGTACAAACGCCTTCGTGTCGAGGGGCTCGAAGACCACAAATGAAAACAAGGCATCGGAACTTATCTTCGGTAAGCGAACCCAGGCAAAACCGTTCACATTCTCTATTGACCAGCCCACCGTAGGTGACAAAATCGTCAGCGTCTTTCTTGTATACTTGGAGACAATTTAACCGAATATTGAATAAGGAAGCCTTTTGTCCAAATATCTTTTTGAGCGTTTTGACCGTATCGGTGAATGTCAGTGTTCGTGGTTCCGCCGGAAGCATATAGTTGAAGTAACGGACATGTTCTTCCGGACCCAGTTTGCGTAGCACAAGACGAACTCGTGTGTCTTCATCGTAGGAGCCACAATCGACCGTGAATATGTCCTCATAACGTTCATACCATGATTTGAAGGAGACACCAGCATTAGGATCATGTTGGAAATCTGGTATATTGCGGACAATATGGTCTGCAGTGCACGAAGCAGTGGGGGTTGATAATCCTGTAACAGCCAGGCGAGCAGTCAGCAACTCCATTCAGGTGTAACTGAGCATGTATCATGGTCCGGATGTCATCCGCGTTGGGGTTCTGCTTCGACATTGTGACATTCAATTCGCCAGTTTTTTATGTCCCCAATTTGTTGTGTTTTGTACCGCGTATATCGGTTGCCTACTATTAGGTCGCACAGCAATAGATCGCAGGAGAACACGACAAGTGCAAAGAGCACAAGATATAGCACAGTAACAACGGTAGCACACGCGAAACGAGAACAGAGGAGTAACACTAAGTCCGTGAATGGATGATAGTTCTAGGAGCGGAAGCTACCTAGGTGAAATACAGGATACACGGTCGGCTATCGATCTCTCAGGCCTCCCAAACACGCGCGAGAGAAGACACGGCTTCAGAAGCACGGGATTTTAATGGCGTTGAGCACAAATCACAAGTCACGAGTCGTGCGTCACAAGTCAATTTACGAGTTCACTCTGCTGCTTATATGTGACTGAAAATAACATTGATCAATATAAGAAAACGAATGTACCAATGAAATACACANCGAGCAATGTTCAACCGGCCATAGACTACGGACCAGACGGACGGAGAGAGTGAATATTGCCGTACGACGCAATATTATTGATTTATCTCCTCGAAATCAGTTTTGATCCGAGATGACCCAACTTAGGTCGAATGTGTTGAAAAATTGTTCGATTTTGCTCACCGAATTAGCAATTGTGCGGTCGGGTTTATCGTGGGACGAATGACGTTGATCTTTGTCCCAACACAGTATAAATTTCACGACGAGCTTTCAAAAGCTGCATCTGCATTATCCATACACTCTCGGTTGAAACGTTTATTCGCTCGTACCATTGTGGATCGAAATTCTGTTTTACCAGATCTCGCACATCTGATTATTGATAAGGAGAATGCTTCCAAGGAATTAGGTCATTGCTTACTTTGATAAAAAGCCGATATCTAATAGTTGTATTCACCTGATTCTATAAATTTTATATCTGTATCTGTAGTATAAAAAGCTGAAAATACGTCCACCTGGACGCACAAAGCAAGGACTAACTGTCTTGAATAACGATGGTTCGATTTAAATGTTATACAAATACAAACGTTAATTTCTGCCAGTTGCATCACCTATATTACTTACTTACGTACACAGGCCGCATGGTCAGGCGTTTGTCCTAACGAATCCGTGAACACCACCCCTCATGCCTAAACACAGGAACGATTAAGTCACTCACTAGTGCAGTGGTTTCACACCTAGTTGAAACAAATCACACTGTGAATGTGACCGAGGCATTCCGTCCCCTGTATCGTGTTCGTGGTCGATTATCAAGGCAGGTTCGCTGTCGTATGCTAGCCGCAGCGGAAGCGGTAGGAATTCGGCTGCACCACCTCTGTGTGCCCAAAAACAATTTGTGCAGGCGCTTAAGCTCCCCTGGCCCATCCCCTATACACCCCATATTCCGAGTGGTCCCAGCGATCGGATGATCTAACAATTACGCGATCATTGAGAATTCCATATCCGGTCCCAAGATGAACTTAGTAGTTCCGGATAACCCATGAGGTTATTTTCCCTTCCCCGAAACATTTGTTTACGTTTTTTATGATTGAATACTGATTTACATATAAACAGCGTAATATTTATTGTGATGTAGTTGGCATGACTACGAATCACTGAAAACGAGCTTGTTCGCCACTCCTTGTTCTATTTGAAATGTGCTCTGTGGGACTGTTTAGGTAATTTCTTTCTATAGATGAGTCACCACATTTGGAGCTTTCTAGATGTGTTTCAGCATGATCGTCAATTTTTACGGCCGACTGGTATGGCCAATTCCAATGCTACATTACGAGTACCAGATAAATGTTGCGCTATTCCAGTGAACTTGCTTTATTCAGGGCGTAGCGTACGGAGACAAACCCAACTATTTGAAGACATCTGGCCAAACGTGAACTGGTAATTCTGATCAGCCCCGTAGTGAGCTGGTTGGCCTAGTGATACTATACAAACCTGTCATGCCACGAGCTTGGAGTTCGAATCCCGGACAGGTTATTGGATGTGCATTACCGTCTAGCTGCTGCAATAGCGAACCACAATTTCAGTGCCTCCTGAATTTACAGCTTATTGGAGCGATTGAGGATTACGCATGAGTGATAAATCTGAAGGAAGTTAAGGTATATTTATCAAAACAGTTAACTTCAGAGTAACACCAAGTCAACTGGAAGGAAATCTGCGGAAACTTACTTCCAGACTGCGGAACCAAACCTGAATGTGAAACCGCCAATATCTCATTCGATACTAATGGTTTTGGTAATGCCTCTGAATTAGGAGTCCGATTTTTCATCCAGTAAAATGTCGAATCAGGCGTTGTAAAGTAGGCACTTTCAATCATATCACTGTCACAATTTGAATAACGAAACAGATCTGGTTTTGGATACAGAGATCCCGAACTCCAGGTTCCGAAACTGGTTTTGTAAAAATTGTTGGAAGTGCAGCCCAAGTTTTGCCATTTGTTCAATGCGGATAAGGTGAACCAAGATAGAGTTGCTGAGTTGTCCTCCTTGTCCCCAGTTCCACCGTACTCTGCCTGGTAGTCGTCAAGCTCTTTGAGATTCCCAACGTCACGTCTCCTCTCATCTTTGGCCGAAGGTTCGTTTAATCTGAATGATTGGTTAGGATAGCTTGAATCAGCTTCATGAGCGCTGAAATGATTATCAGATTTTGCTAATATTCTCGCGACCGAATGAAGCATCTGAAAGCATAGCGATTGAAAAAATGGGTGGCATTTACTGTTTTATCAGAAAGACTGGTTTGCTACAGCTTTTTACCAAAGAAACGCTTATTGCAGACGGCTTTACGATAAATAGTAAGGGAATGCAACAATTCTGTGGTAGAATAGCAGGACTTGACTGTTATAACTCATTGACGGTTGACGGTGTTGGAGCAGTTCATAAATACACGGGTGATCACGTTTACCCCTGAATGGTTAAAGGAAAATTCATTTCTTGTGGTTCGTTCAAACAGATATGAAGATGGTTCGATGAAGAGGAAAGTGTATCAGACGGCACTGGGATGCAGAAATGATTTGATGTGGGGTCGTCTGTGTAAGGTTATGCCAATTCGTGCAAGAATAATACAGAGACGAAGTTCACACACTTAAGAGAGATGTGAGGATATAGTGGATGTCCCAAGAGGTTTACTCAAAAACAATACCAAACAGACTAAATAAAAAAATACCACAGGTCGAAAGGAGAAAATGCTTCACCAGACTCCTTGAATTTCAAGACTAAGAAGAGTCTTGAATGTATCAAGGAAAACAACTTTCCCAATCATCGAGATCACACGTGCGTCCTTCGTGTCACCAGCTATCGACGTCGAAATAAAACTGTACGATCCTGGTTAAACCCTTACTATATTTACTAAACAAAGGGCGCCATCTGCTTCGGTGAAACGAAAAAACAGTTCACTTTAGTCTGTTCACCGAGCTTGACCATTTGTTAGCAAACGTTTCTTCACCAGCGAAAGTGACATCTTCAGCGCTTGTGAAGTGGCGGTCATCTGCTTATACCCGTTCGCTTATACACATTGTTCTTCAGCAAATAGTTTCGTTTCCTGTTCTCACTGTGTTCAATCTAGTTCGTCGTTGAACTAGCACCAAGGGAGAAGAAGGATTGTTCTTCTGTCTGGTTTACGGGGTTTGGTCAGTTCTCGGGGCACGAAGTTACCTTTTTTGCGTCATTTGATCCTTGATTCGGATTGGGGTGTACCCGTTCGATGTATCTGTATTTATTGACTATTTTGAAGCGTGCCAAGACTCGAGAAATTCTCTGGCATGTATTGAACGAGATTGGTCCGTGCTTGCCACCTATTCGAAGCCAAATTAATGTCCTTCTTGAGCTTCGTGCGGGGAATCCATTGCTAACTGGTCTTGTCTCCTGACTGCTGATTGATGTTGATACTTTTCTTCCAGTTTGTTCGATATGGTTATTGAAGCGCATCGGTGTACACCATAATCATTGGCCTAGACATTGAGGGTGGGAGTTAGGACGGAGCGATTTGAATCTTCATTGTTCCAACAGGCAAAAGTTTGGTATTGAGTTGATATTCGATATTCCACTTTCCCATTTGTTTGTCCAGTATTGTAACCTGTGCTGAGGGAGATTAGTTGTCTTATATTGGCCAGTAGTGAGGCATTCTTTATTCATTTCTCAAAATCTAACTCTCAACCAAGAGTTCCGGTACTGTAACCTTTTATTCTTGTAGCCAAATTACATATGATCCGGGAACCTGTTAACGTGTACTAACGTCTTGGAAAAACATTTGGGTCAACGAGGAGGAGAATATGACTTCCGTTGAAGTTTTAAAAGCATCAATAAATATTTTCAACGTTACGGGAAGAAGTTAGATATACCTGGAGCCTTTGATCGTGATTGTGCACGGACTCTCATTCCGGAAGCCCGAGAGGGATAGTTTTATTGTGAGGTTTTTATCTCATTTTTGCTACATTTTGATTATAGATTATTAATATTGTTATGATCTAAGAGAATTGAAGGATTTAATGTGATCAAAGGGTAAATTTCATGCATAGAGCAATTTTAGCGTGAGCTGAAAAGTTAGAAAGCACTAGATAACTATTTTACCCTTGTTGAATCTCATCAGCAAAGGGAATCTATCGACCCGACCGGGATTTGTACACAGGACCTCAGAGGCAGAACGCAAGCACACTACCCTCTCGAACAACGGGGAGCTGATCAGATCATTTTTCAATTACCTTTACACGATGTAGCACAACCCATCTTCGCGAGCTTGTTGCAGGCATCACCTAGCTCATCTTAGCACTAGCCTTCGGGGTTATGACTGGGTTGGAAATTTGTTTATTGCATGGAGGATTTGATGTTCTGTGTTGAGTTTTAGTTGGGTCATTTAAGATGATCAGAGTGGCTTTTCTCGTAGGGGACCTTACGGGTCTAAAATATGAGGTGACCCGGAATAGCTGATTGCCTTTACATCTTCTGAGGTGTGTAATACAGTAGTCTTTTTTTGCGTATTGTGGTGTGTATTTTATTTAACTGGGCTGTCTAAGATACACCATTCTACATCTGCCTCTTTATTTACATACGATGCGTAAGATACTTATTGGAAAATTCGTATCATGTAAAGATCGGATTTCAATCTGGCTTCAAGAGGGCCGGAATCTTTGAATCTATAAACATGGATAGAAATTTTCGTTTTATTTTATCGCTCCATCTGCTGCAACCTTATCCATCCTTTATCAAGTAATTTATTCCTTAAGAAACAATATCCATCGTCTGCACCGGTAAAGGCCCACACACAAACGGTAACGTTTGTAATTGCCGAACAGCGAGCAAAACAATGAACTAAAGCAATACATGCCAGAACCCTTTCGATGCATCATTCGTTAACATAGGGTTCAAATTATGCATCACACTAGTGTAATCAATAAAAACAAACATAATCGAAGCCTGGGTTTTGGCAGAAAAGTTTAATACCTTTAAATAGTGTGTTGTTAGTTATGCAACTGGACAACGGCGTGCTTTAAAAGCACTCACGTACAGTGCCCATTCTAACAAGGACTCATCCGTTCAACTGTGTTTGCCTATCTGTCTGTCTCCTTTTGGGAAAAAAGTTTCCTTCATTTAGAGGGTCAACATTTAAAACGCCTACCTAAAGTGCTGATGGCGAAAACGAAAACAATTTCTTCTCATCTCTAGTTGATTCGAAAAATTTCTAGCCGTAATTTGTGGTTTGTGCTTTGTGACACATCAACCTAATTAAGATTGTTTCCAACTGGGTAATAACTCAGAGAAGACACTCTTCGGAGTGAGCCAAACAAACTATGTGTTTTGCATCTGACTCAAAGTTAATTGTGAGTAGTGGTGTGGGATCGAAACTCGAGTCTAGTACTTGCGAGTGTATGCTTGAATTGATGAACTGAAGATTGTGCGTGAAGGTGAAGTCCGAAGGATAGTCAGTTCAAATCAATAAATAATATGTGGTAGGTTTCCTAGGATGAGGTGTGTTGCACAATTTTCAGGCAAGACCGGTCGATTTAAAACACCAATCAGTAGTCAAGTTAGTATCATACTGCCGGTCCTGTCTACCGGAACGATAAACCGATACCGAGGATGAAGCAAATCAAGACCAAAATCCCGATTGCCATGCTAACCTGAATGTCATTTTGCAAATATCGAGTTCAACGTTTCCAAATGCAGAGTCATCTCCATGCGGCATAAGACTCGTTTCTCCTAAGTTCTGGGGAACCAAATACTACCGCATGCCACTGATGAAAGGGATTTAGGAGTTATGGTACAGGAGGACGTAGGATGTTCCACGCACTGTGCCAGAGCATCATCTATGACTCTAAAGCAAGTGGGACTTCTCAGGCGTGTTTTCGGGCATTTCGAAAGAGCACTGTTTCCACGCTTGTTATCAGCGTTCGTTCGGCCACACACGGAGTACGCCGTTCAAGTATGGAATCCACGGTTAAATCGCGACAAGAAGGCTCTAGAACGTCCGCAGAGGCTGGCAACGAAATTGGTAAAAGGTCTATAAACAAGACATACTCCGAAAGACTGCAAATATTGGGACTCTACTTATTCCAATACCGCCGACTTCGGGGGGGACCTAATATTGGCATATCACATAATGCATCAACCCAACCACCCTTGCCGTTCTCTGCTGACTTTATCTCATAAAGATCACCTCAGGGGACATCCACTAAAGGTAAAGACCCAGAACAGACACCGTGATTTCCGGCATCACTCGTTTGCAGTCAGAGTGTGCGGCGCATGGAATTCTCTTCCATCTGATGTAGTGTGTGCTCCTACAGTTCAACTATTTAAATCGCAACTTGACAAAGCATTGGAACACTTAAAATTTCGACATCCGTGAGTGATCACACACATTATTATCATTGTTATTTTCTCTTTTTGAAGTTATTCAAAACATTCTGTAAAAATCCTATGGGGCATGATAAGCTTTAGCTTTGTTAAAACGCCCATAATAAAACTTTGACTTTGACTTTGACTTAAATCGAATAGTGAAATCAAGATCCACAATAGTTAGGTATTCTCTGCAATTCTCTCCGTTTTTACCATCGTAGTTCAGTCTTCTACTGTTTTTAGACATCACTGAACCTCAATTTTATGTAGAATTGTGAAGTGAACGAACTTCTTCCCTATATTCAAAATTCAAGGATGATGCATTGATTTAAACTGAGCATTATTTTGACTTCACCTTCGTACACATTAAATCATTCACACAAAACGAGAATTAATCGATTCCGATAAGATTCGTGCTTGAGCTCATCCACAGTGCATATTTAAGGGCTCAATGGGATTTTGAACTTCGGCCACCTTAATTAGAAGACCTGATTTGATGGAAGGCTAAGAGGTAATGGTAAAATAAAATCGGCTCTACCTTCTTTTGTTCTTATATGTCCTAAAGGGAGGTATAATCCGAGCCCATTTGAATTAGCTATTCCGGTCAGCCTGGTTTGAGCTAGTTTGAGCTAATGCTGTTACACAAGCCATGAGTCTATCTGTGTTTGGTCATGGATCGATACCCTGAAATTTACCGGTGACCATGTAACGATAAAATGAGAATCAAACAGAAGTTCTGGATTCACTGAATGAGCTGTGAACTGTTGACTATGACGAGGTCCAGCCAAAACTAAACTCAAAGACTCCACATCTTCAATTGAAAGTAATTGTGAATTGAAATGGGATTTAT